GTTTACCCGTTAGAATGGAAAAACTGGGAAAAAGGATGGGTTTCTAGTGTGTTAATTTCCCACACCGGAAAACCCAAGGGATTTGCAACCCTTTATAAAGGGACTCTCCCCTTAAGGAGTTAAGATTCCTAAGGGTAAAGGCTCTGTCCACGCGCGCAGGGGGGGTGTGTGCAAATCAAATCCCGAATTCGGAGAAGAAAAACCGCGACTTGCGTGCGCGGGCGACTTGCGGACACGAATGTCGTCCAAAAATCTATCTCTCAAGAGATACGGATAATTTTTGTTTTCTTCCCGAAACGTTTATTTTTTCCCGGTTGACAGAAGTGCCCAGCAGAAGACCTCGGCCTCTGGTGGCATCAGAACACCTCGGCCTCTGGTGGCCTCGATCAGAATGCCTCGGTCTCTGGTGGCATCAGAACACCTCGGTCTCTGATGGCCTCGATCAAAATACCTCGGTCTCTGGTGGCATCAGAACACGTCGGTCTCTGGTAGCAATAAATGCCCAACGTTTATATCCTTTAATGCAGCGTTAAATGGACAGTTCATGGACGATTCAATGCCCAACGGACTGGTCATTGATGTCCAACGTTCAGGTCCATTAATTCACCATTTACACACAACAAATCCTCCTATATAAGGGCTGACAGGTGGTTTGCAACAACACAGGTTCTTACACGAATCCATACACGTTTTAGCTCTAAAAACACACTGCTAGCATTCTGAAAAATTCCTCTGTGTTCATACTGTGTTCTCGTTCGCTGGAACTCTTGTTTGTGTGCTCAAACATTAGTTCGTAGTCATCGTATCCTAGGAAACGATTGTTGCAACGCTCCTAGCACCGTGGGAGGCAACAAATACGTTTTAAGGACATCGTGCGTAGCACGAGCTTTGACTAATTCTGTTTCATCTCCTTTCTTGTTTTTCTCTAGTCATTTTATTTGATTAATTTATTTAATTAATTTTCTTTATTTTCCGAAACACACCCAACACTTTGTCCTCACTCGTGCGGGCCCTGAGAAACTTCCCAGGGGGTCACCCATCCCAAGACTACTCCCGTGTAAGCACGCTTAACTTTGGAGTTCTTGGTGATGAGCTCCCTTAAAAGGAGATGCATCTTGTTGGTATGAGTAGTACTATTAATCCATTTATATTAAATCTCAAGTGTTACATAGCTAGCCTGCTTCTACGAATTCTATGTGTCTCCTTCCTTAAGGCTTCGGAAGCACTGAAGAAGGAAAGGAACGTATACTGAAACCTATAGAAATTGAAACAGTATACTAATAACTAAGCAACTATCTTAAACCCAACTTCTAATACCCAAGTTTTTGTTATCTGAATCTCATCTTCTAACACCCAACTTTTTGTTGGGTTGCTAATTGATAAGAACGAGATTGATTGAACAGAATGGCAGGGGCTGATAAAGAAACGGGGGCTGAAATTCGAGCACTGCCTTTAGCTTTGTTTTGCTCCTGGATGGGAAATCTGTTGAAATCCGGAAGGGAATGCAGAGAATTTCAACACTATTCTATCCTTCATATTTTAGTTTGAAATCCTTGTAAATCCATAACAATCCAAGAGTTAAAGAATCCATGGACAATTTGAGGATAACTGTATTTTTCTAGACTCCGTACAAATCCAAATTGAGGACACCCATACTTTGATGGAATTCTAAATTCCTTTAAAATCCTTGAGAATCCATATTGGGAACACCCCCTAAGTCTCTCGTGATGCACCATTAAAATGTAGAATGTTTATAAGATGCATATTACATAAAAATGTAATTGCCCTACAGAGGACTAATCGTAAACATTTATGCACACATATGACTACACGTTTATAATTCCCTAAATAGGACTCCAGATTAACATTATACCTTCCTATATACTACCTCCGTCCCGAATTGATTTGTAAATTTGACTTTTCTTGGTCAAACAGTTGCGTTTTTCACTTAATTAGGTTGCTAATTTTTAATTATATTCTAATTTGGAGTTTACAACTTTGAAGAGATTTTGATGTATTTTATGAATATGTAAATTTTATTTATTAAAAATTAAATTAATTATGCATAAGAAGGGTTGACTTTTATTATTAGTTGACCAAAAAATGTTGACTTTGCAAAACAAATTGGGACGGAGGGAGTAATATCTTAACCCTAATTACTTTCATACGCACATCATATCCCTACGATTCACTCCCTGTGGCACATCCCTTTTTTGGTTTTCTTTGTGCCGCCGCACCACGCCAACTTCGCCGCACTCTTCTCGTCACCAGTTCTGCCTCATCGGCAACATTTATTGTCACAGTCCTCATCAATTGTGTGTCGATCTTAGGTATCTTCTTTTTCGTCGCCTCCTAGTTTTTCTTCTTCCCGCCCTTCTTCTTTTAATTTCTTCTTCTTCTTTCTCCTCTGTTTTCATCTAAAAATCACATTTTGTCCATGTATTTAGTAGTTTTGCAAGATTTATTTGATTTAATTAAATTTCTGAGCTTTGACATTGATTTTTTTAAACATTGGCAATGTATTTATGATTTCTCCTTTTGTTGAATTTCTGATTTCTATAAAAATTCCAGGTTTTCTAATTTTAATATTGGCTTCATATTTTGTCAAATTTGTGACAGTTATACGTAGATCTGAAAATTGTATTATGGTTGAAAATATTTATTTTTGACAATGACATCAAAGTATTGCCAATTTTATGGTAGATTTTCCTATTATACTATGGAAGGAAAATATTTGTTTCCTTACAAAACTGCCAAAAATAATGAATGAAATTGCCTTTTTAATTCATGTTTTTTTGTCAAAGATGGATCATTTAGTTCATCTTCTGATGTTGTAGGACAAGTTAACGACATTATATATATATATATATTGTAATGTTTTTGTTTTTATTAGTCATTGTAACATAATTCGAAACATAAAATCATGTATCATGTGTATCAGTGCATGTTCAAATATGGAAAATATGCTCCTTGTATACATATATTATCTTCTCGTTCATTGTTAGTTCATGGTTTATTCCTTAATATCATGTTAATGAGATGTGCCTAAAATGCCATATTTGTTGTGTTTAGTTATTGTTGAATTTCCACACTAGAAACTTGTGAAAGAATTAAGTGGTATATTATGATCTGGATTACTCCTCCTATCAGGTTGACCTTTTAGGATGGAACCTCAGGTCTTAACACGGTAGCAAAGTCAAAATGATCCATGGTGTGGGCCCCTTATGAAAAATGATGACACGATTATAAAATATGACAATAACGAATCTATGAAAAAAAGAATGACGGATGAAAAAAATGAATGAAGGCACGATTCAGACAAGAAGTGTTTGGTCGTGAGGAAGGGGTGTTAAATTCCCACACAGAAAACTTGTGAAAGAATTGAGTGGTGTATTAAGATTTGAATTACTCCTCCTACCAAGTTGACCTTTTAGAATGGAACCACATGGCTTAACAGTTATATTATAATGGCTTACTCTTGGCATAAATTGTATTCATGTTTGGCACATTGTTAGTCATTTTATTTGACCAATTTGTATGTGTTGTATGTGTTTCCCTAGTTATCATATGGATTTTGTTGTTCTGATCATACTGAGGTTGAATGGGAGTTGGACCAACTACTACAACTTCAACAGTAATGTCACATTTGCTATTCAAGTTCGTTATCCTGCTACATACAAAGACTTTATAGAACAACTACCTTCCATATTAAGTGATTGCAACCCAACAAATCACTCCAAGTTATCTTATATGGTTGATGGTTGCCCCCCACTTGTTTATATCAATGATGAAGCATCTTTTCGTTCTTTCCTTAACTTTAAGGTTGTTAAGATTGATTTCAGCAAGTACCCCTTGTGTGTGGAATGCTCATTTGATGTTTATAATCCTTGCACGGTCTCTGCAACAGAAAACGGTATAGTTGATATTTCTACTTCATGGAATGAAGTTTCTTCTGAGGAAGATGATAGTATTAGCGGTCAGAAATCTGAATTCAACCCTTACACCCTTGCTCATCATGAATCCAATGCCACACAAAGATCACATAATCCCATAAGAATCACTAATGTAACATCTTCACTCGTTGTCTCCTCATTCTTTTTCACTTTAACAATCTGTAATAGTGCCTGTTTGATCAATGTCTTGTGCATCTGATGTGTTTTTCTGAATTCATTGAGTTCTACCATAATCTTGGCATTCTCCTTGCTCAATTTCCTAACCTTTCTTAACGTCATAGTCGCCATTCTTGCAGTTCTAAAACTCACCGTCCCTCCTTCCTCCTCCAATTCCATATTTTCTTCCATAGATGACACTTTTCCTTTTTGCATTGATGTTGCTTATTTTTTCGTTCACACTCTTTCCCTTTTTTCTGAATAGCTTCACCCCCTTCAATTGTATCCCCACTATCACTTTCCGAATTGTTTTTCCTCTCAGTGCTTAACCTTTCATTGGACAGTAAATTTGGAAATTTATCAGTTTCCAAATTTGTAGGCTCCATAACTTCTTTCCCACTCAAATGGCATAAAATAAAAAACAATAACAAATTATAAGTTAAATGCCGATACCTGTTCTTCAGATTCATAACTACTAATTAATAACTCAATTGTATTGTGTGTTCGTTCTTGAAAATTATTTTTCTCAAAGTTCCGTAGATGGTTTTTTATTACAAATTCCCACTTCACTGCCCTTGGTATTCTCATCTCTCGCTCTTCAATCACGATGCATATCTGTGCTTTTGTCAGGCATGTGAACGTTTCAAATCCCACACTTGGATGGCAATCAAACATCCTGGCAGTGTGAAAATTTTCCATTTGCATTTGTTTATACGTTTTGCATTGCTTCTTATGTTGTCACGCCCCGGACCTATCCGGACACGTCAACAACCCGCCGTACAATACGAATAGTCAACCGCAGTCCAACACATTCATATTATACAAGGCGTCTTGAATATCATTCACACATATACATCCATAAACAAACATAATAAGTAATTCATAACGCAGCGGAAACATTGTTTAAAACAAAAGGGCCACACAAGGCATTTCATGAGCACGCAGGCTCCATAGTAAAATATCCATGAGCATGTTTAGAAAGGTTTAAAAACAGAATGGAGGAAGCACGAACCAAGTCTTCCCTCCTATATGATCTCTCGAGCAACGAGCACAGGAAGCAAGCTCTAGCCTCAACCTGAAAAATGGTGGTGGGACGCCCCCGAAGGGGTCAGCACTCTATAGGGCTATAAAGTGCTGGTGTGGCAGGCATCTAATAGATATACAACAAGTATTTCACACACAAGACCCTCAAATAGGGTGATAATATAGTATAGGCCGTAATCCCAGATTACCCCTTTCAAAATACATACTTACTTTATATAAAGTCAAGTAGTCGGCTCAAAGGCCCGTGTTTGTTATAAAACATTTCCCAAACCCCGTGACTAATAGTCACGACAATACATAGGGTCCAACCCTAATATAACTTCTCATTTCTAGAGTTAGGCTCGGGTACATCATCATGCACTCGCATCATAGATCTCCTACTTCATATAATCATATCATAGATCTCCTACTTCATGTATTCACATCATAGATCTCCTACTTCATGTATTCACCCCATAGATCTCCTACTTCATACAATCCCACCATAGATCTCCTGCTTCATATAATCACACCATAGATCTCCTACTTCATATAATCACACCATAGATCTCCTACTTCATACAATCACACTTGACACTTGAATCTTATTCAAGTTCATCACAAACAACTCAAACCTTAAGTTTGATTCTATCAACATTTTGAACAATCCTTAACTAGCATCACAATACTATTAAGATTATTCCTACAACTCATTTATCATAAATGGTAGCCCCTCCATATCAATAGATATGTGGCAGCCTCCCATGTGCTAAGCATCATCATGAAATTATACATTTACATACACATAACATTCATACATGAGTTGGAAGGTCAATTTACCATATTAGCATACTTTTATCTCACATGACTCCATATTCATCAATATGGTTTCAATTCATGGTCAAGTCCATTACTTATCATTCATATCATGTTCAAGCATATTTATTCACAAAAACATGACTCAAGCATTTAGGTAATCTCATGCATAACCTACAAGTTGTAAGCAACTAGATGTCGGTCCTCACCTCAAATGAGCTTTAAAACCTTCCTTCTCGCTCCAACGACCAAAGCCTCGGCCAAGAAGGTTTTAGAACTGATTCCTTGCTTGGAATTGAGTGTTAAACAGCCCCCTCAAAGTGCTAGTTCAACTCCTAACCGAAGACACAAAAACAGTCCCTAGAACGGGTGTTTCCCGACGAATTCGTTCCCTAACCTTTCAAGGTTTTGTCTAGGTTAGTATCTAACCTTTCCAACAATTAAAGTCACTTTATAATAACATTTTATACACTTCAATAAGTGTATAATAGTTCTTCAATCATTTATACGATTTAGACAATAGAGAGGAAGGTTTTGGATTCAAACTTACTTTGAATACAAAAACGTATTCCGCGAGGTTGTGTTTTGCTCGGACGATTTGGAAGCCTTCCACTACTCCGATTGATGCAAACCAGACATCCACGGATTCCTCGTCTTGAGATCTTTCTTTTGGTATCTTATACTCCTTAATTGGACGAGTGAATCTCGAGTTATGGCTCAAACAATCAGAGCTACGCACTGAAGAACGAACCTGCGGACAGCTTGCTCTCTCTTTGGCTTATCTTGGTTATGTGGCTCTCTCCTTCACTCTTATCTTGGGGAGTTCGAATGGGGTGTAGGGGGGAGTGTAAAGGATGCCTTAAACATGCTAAGAGAGCATGTGGCTCACAAAAGAGCATGGGAGACATTGGTTTGCAATCAAATGTGAGGTGGACCTCCACTTTTATTTCTTTTTGTAATGTATTGCTCTTAAGTCAACATGCTCGCCCCATATAGTCATCTCACCCATTTTTTCTTTGTCTTGCAGGTACTCAAGTCATGTGGAGTGGTTCCCAATTGATCCCAATCATTTTGGGGTCCAAAATATATATCAATACTTCCAAAAATGGGAAGATGGGTCCTATAGTTTTATCTTTTGTCAAAGATGTCTTTTTGTACTCATCCTAATTTATTTAGAACAAGTCAACTTCCTCCATCACATTATTGATCTCCAATATGTGTAGGTTCATCACAATAATTTACTTGATGGATATCATAGCAGGAAAATCCTACTCCCATTATTTAGCTCAATAATGCCAAAGATGGGGTTATAGGCATTTGTATTCTTCTTTAATCATTCTATCACTTATTTGACATTTGTCATACATATTATTGGGCTACTAGCCGTGTGGGTCACTCCCGAGTGGGTCTAGAACGTCATTCTCGAATACTTGCTATTTTTAGCAGGTTGGGCCCCAAATAATGTTTGGGCCGCCCGACCTTCCTCAAATTGTCTTGAAAGATTATGTATCACTATTTAGATAATGTTGGGCTTTTTTTTTTATTTATTAATAAGTCCCGAATAAGTATTTGCAAAACCCGACACTAATGTACGAGTTTGAATAGTACGATATTCAACCATGCACTACGTAGGACATTAATCGTTTTACAATTGTTTGGAGTCGGAAATTCGATACATATATTTGAATTTAAATTGAATTTTCAAGGACGTTCGGGTGCGGTGTCACAAGTTCACCCCCCCTTAACAGGAATTTCGTCCCCGAAATTCACAGCTCTACTCGAATAGAGAAGTGTACTGCTTCCTCATCAAGGCCTCTGTTTCCCATGTCTCTTCTTTGACCCGATCGCTCTTCCAAAGGACTTTAACCATTGGGACTTCTTTGCTCCTCAGTTTCTTCACCTTTCTACCGGTGACCTTGATTGGTTGCACAGCGTAGTTCAAATCCTCACGTACCTCTACAGGCGGCTTTTCCAATACGTGGGAGGGATCATGTACATACTTCTTAAGCATGGATACATGAAACACATTATGTATCTTCTCTAATTCAGAAGTCAACTGTAGACGATATGCAACGGCCCCAATCCTCTCTATAATTCTGAATGGACCTATGTATCGTGGGTTAAGCTTTCCTCGGGTTTGGAATCGAATGATTCCTTTCCAAGGAGAAACTTTCAAGAATACCTCGTCCTCAACCTTAAACTCTAAGGTTCTTCGACGCTTATCTGCATAACTCTTTTGTCTATCCTGAGCCGCTTTGAGTCTCTCTCGAATCAACTTCACCCTTGACTTGGTGATCTCAACCAACTCAGTACCCTCGAGTTTGGCCATGCCAACCTCGTCTCAGCATAACGGTGTACGACACCTCCTCCCATACGATGCTTCATATGGAGGCATGCCGATACCTGCCTGATAACTGTTGTTATAGGCAAACTCCACGAGTGCTAAGTGGTTGTCCCAACTTCCTTGGAACTCTGACGCACAAGCCCTCAGCATATCCTCTAAGATCTGTATAACCCTTTCAGACTGCCCATCCGTCTGTGGATGGAAAGCAGTATTGAACTTCAACCTCGTTCCCATAGACTCCTGGAATTTCGGCCAAAATGTGATGTGAATCGTGGGTCTCTATCGGATACAATGGTCACTGGGACCCCATGCAGCCTCACGATCTCATCCGTATACAATTTGGCTAACCTCTCAAGTGGGTAGGTAGTGTTGATAGGCAAGAAGTGTGCACTCTTCGTGAGCCTATCCACAACAACCCAAACTGCATCATAGTTCCGAATTGTTCGTGGTAAACCTACCACGAAATCCATAGTCACATGTTCCCACTTCCATTCAGGAATGGAAAGTGGTTGTAACAAGCCTGCTGGATGCTGATGTTCTGCCTTAACTTGCTGACAAGTAAGGCATCGACTAATGTATTCAGCTATTTCCCTCTTCATACCAGACCACAAGTAACTTTCTTTCAAATCACGATACATTTTCGTGCCCCCCGGGTGCATGGCATAAGCCGATGAATGAGCCTCCTCTAAGATGGACTTTCAGAGCTCATCATCTGACGGTACACACACTAGGTCACGAAATAACAAGAGACTATCATCTCTTTCCCTGAAATGCTCCACCGGTCCCGCTTGCATGCGTTCCCGGGCCTTTATAAGTTCTACGTCAGCCTCTTGACCCTTCTTGATCTCATCAAGTAAGGTCGGCTCACCTCGAATCGTGCTAATAAGGCACCGTCGCTAGATACATCCAATTGGGCCCTCAGTGCCCTCAAACTAGTCAACAATGCCCCAGACGAACTCTTCCGACTAAGGGCAACTGCTACAACGTTTGCCTTACCTGGATGGTACTCAATAACTAGATGGTAGTCCTTTATCGACTCCATCCACCGTCTCTGTCTCATGTTTAACTATTTTTGAGTAAACACGTACTTCAAGCTCTTATGATCAGTATATATGTGACATGTCTCTCCGTAGAGATAATGTCTCCAATTCTTCAGTGCAAACACTACTGCTCCCAGCTCCAGATCATGGGTAGGATAATTTTACCTCATGCTTCTTCAACTGTCGTGAAGCATAGGCAGTTACCCTCCCCTCCTGCATCAACGCACACCCAAACCCTTGGATGCTCGCGTCACTATAGACATCGTACCCCACACCCTGTTTGGGTAATGCAAGTACCGGTGCCTCGGTCAATCTCTTCTTCAGTTCGATGAATCCTTTCTCACATTTGTCATCCCATATAAACTTAGCTCCCTTTCGAGTGAGCTTCGTCAATGGCGATGCTAAAACTGAGAACTTCTCCACGAATTATCTGTAGTAACCCGCTAGCCCGAGGAAACTACGAATCTCCTTCACGTTCTTAGGCCTTTCCCATTATGTGATAGCCCCAATCTTCTTGTTATCCACGGCAATGCCTGACTCAGAAACTACATGCCCAAGAAAGCCAATCTCTTTAAGCCAAAACTCGCACTTAGAGAACTTGGCGCAAAATTGCTTCTCTCGTAGTGTTTCAAGATCCAGGACCAAGTGCCGCTCATGTTCTTCTTCACTCCTTGAGTAAATTAAGATGTCATATATGAACACAATCACAATTCGGTCCAAGTATATATGAAATACTCGATTCACCAAGTCCATGAATGCCGCTGGGGCGTTTGTTAACCCAAACGACATAACAAGGAATTCAAAGTGCTCATACCTTGTGCGAAAAGCACTTTTTGGTATGTCATCTTCCTTAATCTTCGGTTGATGGTACCCCGACCTCAAGTCAATCTTCGAAAACACGGTTGCTCCTCGTAGTTGATCAAACAAGTCATCAATTCTAGGCAAAGGATACCTATTCTTGATTGTGACCTTGTTCAGTTGACGATAGTCAATACACATTCGAAGTGTCCCATCCTTCTTTTTCACAAAAAGAACTGGTGCTCCCCACGGGGAGTGGCTTGGGCTAATGAAACCATTATCCAAAAGCTCTTGCAATTGGGTTTTCAACTCGTTAAGTTCAGCGGGTGCCATACGGTATGGCGGTATGGAGATTGGTTTGGTGCCGGGCTCGACCTCGATCACAAATTCAATCTCTCTATCAGGTGGAAGCCCCGGTAGGTCTTTAGGGAAGACACCCGGATACTTACAAACCACCCTCACATCATCGATGTTCGTTTCTTCTTTGGTTTTGTCAACCACGTATGCTAGATATGCGTGGCATCCCTTTCTCATCATACTTCTCGCTCTCACGGCGGATATGATACAGCTATTTGATCTCCCTCGATCGCCCTCGAAGCGTAGGGTCTCCCCATCATTGCCTTCGAGTTCAAGAACCTTCGTGTAGCAATCTACCCTAGCATGGTTCCTTTCTAGCCAATCCATCCCTAGGATTGCATCGAATTCAATCATGCTCAGCGGTACGAAGTCACACGTCAAGGTTTGACCCTTAACTTCCACCCCACAAGATGGATAGTAACAAGTTCTTTCCACGTCATCCCCTAGTGGTGTTGATACCACTAAGGTTTGCATCAACAGTGCGGATTGCACTTCCAATCTCTTGGCGAACGCTTCATTCACAAATGAACGTTGCGCCCCGGTATCGATAAGGATTCGCGCATCCTTCCCATTAATCTTTAGTGTCCCTACATTCATGAACCATGTAAGACATTTCTCCTACCCTCCCTACTCATTTATAGAAGGTTATAATGTTCACACACATGTTTGGGATCAAGAACGGGTCTTAACGTTGCAATACGGCGCGAAAAAGTCGACTTTGGGCTGCCCAGGAGGTACGCACGGCGTGCCTAGGAGGTACGCACGGCGTGCGTGTCTTATAACCTCAAAACGGAGCTACTGCCACCAACGCACGGACCAACGCACGGACAACGCACGTCCGTGCGTATAGCAATTTCTTCCCGGTTGCTACTGCCACCAACGCACGGACCAACGCACGGACAACGCACGGCCGTGCGTATAGCAATTTCTTCCCGGTTGCTACTGCCACCAACGCACGGACCAACGCACGGACAACGCACGGCCGTGCGTATGGTCCAGCCTGGTGTGCGTTGGCGGAAATCAGCCGTCTTTCGCCCGATTTCGCTCCGTTTGACCCCAAAGCTTCGTACAATGATCCCAACGACTAGCAACCTCAATTTATGGACTAATTAAGGATAAAAAACAAGTATACAAGAGGTACTACCTTCAACGGAATCCAGGTTAGCTTGAGCATCCGCCTCCGTCATCGCATAGACCCTAGCTTGGGTCCTTCCTTGGTTCACGGATGGCGCGTTGCTCGTGCTTGCTCCCCCATGTCCCCTGCTCCCTTGAGAAACCTCGGTTTGGTTTTCATTTCTTGTAGTTCCACCACTTGACCCCGAAGTTTGGTTTTGCACAATTTGTGGGCAACTCACTCTCGTGTGCCCGACCTCTGTGCATTGATAGCACCTGGGAGGGTCCTGACACTTACCCGAGTGGTGTTTCTTGCAATTGTTGCACTTAGGTACCCTCGGACCTTTTGACCTCGAGTTCGGGCCACCTAAGCCTCGACTCCACTCAAGTGATAGTGTCTGCGCCCTGAAGGTTTTGTCACCCTCAACGTTTGTCCTCCTTGAATGTCTTTGGGAATCGTTGTCTCCCCGCTTCCTTTTCCTTACTAATGGTATGCCCTCAGCTTGCCTAGCTTGGCGTTTTTGTATAAGCCTCACACGTTCACGTTGAAGCCAATCTATGACCATGCCCATTTGTTCAATGGGTGCACCATCAAGGTCCTCATCACTCAAATCATCTCCTTCGTCACCCGAAGCCTTGAGTGGTTCAGTTTTGCCATAACAAGGTGATTCTTCCTTGGTCTTAACATGACCACCACTCACGATTTGAGCTTCAAGAGTTTCGTGCACCTTTGGTCCTAAGGGCTTTTCTCGGTTGGCATGCCCGGTTCCACCCGGTGCAAACCCTTCCGAGTTCTCCCTATTCATAATACCACCATCACCCTCCATCGCTGAAAGAAATAATTAGAATGAGCCATACCAATCGTTAAGGGCGCCATCTTAACAATTAGAGACCTTGCAACGCAAACACCAAAAGTTCTTAAGTACAAAACGTTTTTGCTCATGGTTTTCAAAAATCATTTTGAAAAGAGAATTTTGAGACTTCATTATGAAGTTTATGGACTAAGGCTCTGATACCAACTTAATTGTCACGCCCCGGACCTATCCGGACACGTCAACAACCCGCCGTACAATACGAATAGTCAACCGCAGTCCAACACATTCATATTATACAAGGCGTCTTGAATATCATTCACACATATACATCCATAAACAAACATAATAAGTAATTCATAACGCAGCGGAAACATTGTTTAAAACAAAAGGGCCACACAAGGCATTTCATGAGCACGCAGGCTCCATAGTAAAATATCCATGAGCATGTTTAGAAAGGTTTAAAAACAGAATGGAGGAAGCACGAACCAAGTCTTCCCTCCTATATGATCTCTCGAGCAACGAGCACAGGAAGCAAGCTCTAGCCTCAACCTGAAAAATGGTGGTGGGACGCCCCCGAAGGGGTCAGCACTCTATAGGGCTATAAAGTGCTGGTGTGGCAGGCATCTAATAGATATACAACAAGTATTTCACACACAAGACCCTCAAATAGGGTGATAATATAGTATAGGCCGTAATCCCAGATTACCCCTTTCAAAATACATACTTACTTTATATAAAGTCAAGTAGTCGGCTCAAAGGCCCGTGTTTGTTATAAAACATTTCCCAAACCCCGTGACTAATAGTCACGACAATACATAGGGTCCAACCCTAATATAACTTCTCATTTCTAGAGTTAGGCTCGGGTACATCATCATGCACTCGCATCATAGATCTCCTACTTCATATAATCATATCATAGATCTCCTACTTCATGTATTCACATCATAGATCTCCTACTTCATGTATTCACCCCATAGATCTCCTACTTCATACAATCCCACCATAGATCTCCTGCTTCATATAATCACACCATAGATCTCCTACTTCATATAATCACACCATAGATCTCCTACTTCATACAATCACACTTGACACTTGAATCTTATTCAAGTTCATCACAAACAACTCAAACCTTAAGTTTGATTCTATCAACATTTTGAACAATCCTTAACTAGCATCACAATACTATTAAGATTATTCCTACAACTCATTTATCATAAATGGTAGCCCCTCCATATCAATAGATATGTGGCAGCCTCCCATGTGCTAAGCATCATCATGAAATTATACATTTACATACACATAACATTCATACATGAGTTGGAAGGTCAATTTACCATATTAGCATACTTTTATCTCACATGACTCCATATTCATCAATATGGTTTCAATTCATGGTCAAGTCCATTACTTATCATTCATATCATGTTCAAGCATATTTATTCACAAAAACATGACTCAAGCATTTAGGTAATCTCATGCATAACCTACAAGTTGTAAGCAACTAGATGTCGGTCCTCACCTCAAATGAGCTTTAAAACCTTCCTTCTCGCTCCAACGACCAAAGCCTCGGCCAAGAAGGTTTTAGAACTGATTCCTTGCTTGGAATTGAGTGTTAAACAGCCCCCTCAAAGTGCTAGTTCAACTCCTAACCGAAGACGCAAAAACAGTCCCTAGAACGGGTGTTTCCCGACGAATTCGTTCCCTAACCTTTCAAGGTTTTGTCTAGGTTAGTATCTAACCTTTCCAACAATTAAAGTCACTTTATAATAACATTTTATACACTTCAATAAGTGTATAATAGTTCTTCAATCATTTATACGATTTAGACAATAGAGAGGAAGGTTTTGGATTCAAACTTACTTTGAATACAAAAACGTATTCCGCGAGGTTGTGTTTTGCTCGGACGATTTGGAAGCCTTCCACTACTCCGATTGATGCAAACCAGACATCCACGGATTCCTCGTCTTGAGATCTTTCTTTTGGTATCTTATACTCCTTAATTGGACGAGTGAATCTCGAGTTATGGCTCAAACAATCAGAGCTACGCACTGAAGAACGAACCTGCGGACAGCTTGCTCTCTCTTTGGCTTATCTTGGTTATGTGGCTCTCTCCTTCACTCTTATCTTGGGGAGTTCGAATGGGGTGTAGGGGGGAGTGTAAAGGATGCCTTAAACATGCTAAGAGAGCATGTGGCTCACAAAAGAGCATGGGAGACATTGGTTTGCAATCAAATGTGAGGTGGACCTCCACTTTTATTTCTTTTTGTAATGTATTGCTCTTAAGTCAACATGCTCGCCCCATATAGTCATCTCACCCATTTTTTCTTTGTCTTGCAGGTACTCAAGTCATGTGGAGTGGTTCCCAATTGATCCCAATCATTTTGGGGTCCAAAATATATATCAATACTTCCAAAAATGGGAAGATGGGTCCTATAGTTTTATCTTTTGTCAAAGATGTCTTTTTGTACTCATCCTAATTTATTTAGAACAAGTCAACTTCCTCCATCACATTATTGATCTCCAATATGTGTAGGTTCATCACAATAATTTACTTGATGGATATCATAGCAGGAAAATCCTACTCCCATTATTTAGCTCAATAATGCCAAAGATGGGGTTATAGGCATTTGTATTCTTCTTTAATCATTCTATCACTTATTTGACATTTGTCATACATATTATTGGGCTACTAGCCGTGTGGGTCACTCCCGAGTGGGTCTAGAACGTCATTCTCGAATACTTGCTATTTTTAGCAGGTTGGGCCCCAAATAATGTTTGGGCCGCCCGACCTTCCTCAAATTGTCTTGAAAGATTATGTATCACTATTTAGATAATGTTGGGCTTTTTTTTTTATTTATTAATAAGTCCCGAATAAGTATTTGCAAAACCCGACACTAATGTACGAGTTTGAATAGTACGATATTCAACCATGCACTACGTAGGACATTAATCGTTTTACAATTGTTTGGAGTCGGAAATTCGATACATATATTTGAATTTAAATTGAATTTTCAAGGACGTTCGGGTGCGGTGTCACATATGTTATCTACTAACTCACCCCAAACGTCATCCCCCTTGTGTATTCATTAAATACATCCAAATATTCAACCAACAATTCACATCCATAGTCGGTAATTCTCTTGCTACTCGGTTGCCAAACAGAGCATGTGACAGCACATGGAGCAGAGCAAGTTTAACGCCATCGCTTCGTTTTGTATCAGAGTCTTCTCTATTGTAATTCATTAACGCACTTTGAAAATCACTTCTCACCTCGGATGTGCTTCCAAAATACTTTCTCCACAACAACCCCCTCAAATTCTCCTCTTAGGCGGTTTCACACCTTCAAATCCTTCAAATTTGAGGTCCAAAACCATGCACATATCCTTTTTGGTGAAACTAACCACATTGTTTTGAATGTGAAAATGAATGACATTTACCTCTTTCATGTCATTCACCTTTTTCACGTAGCTGAAGAAATTTAAGTGGAAGCTGTCCACTTATTGTTCGCATCTCTTCTACATCCAACACCCATCCTGATAGTCTTCCTGAATCCAACTACTTGTTCCTCTTCAAGTTGTTATGTTTATCCTTTTCACAACCTCACTTAAACTACAATAACAATTTATCCCCATGCTTTCACTTGATTAATTGTGCACATGGAATTACATTTAGTCTTACCAATCATTTTTTTGCATGTTAATATAGGTGAATATGAAGTGTGTAAATAGGTGATATTGCAAACAAATATGGACGAAGAAGTTTTATAAGGTAGAAATCATATAGTTTGAAAAGTGTAGTGGTTATGTTGTTGGAAGAAATTACAAAAAGAGATTATGTTATGGCAGGAAAATGTTGAAAGCATGAGGATAAATTGCTATTGTAGTTTAAGTGAAGACGTGAAAAGGATAAAGAAACAACTTAAAGAGAAACAATTGGTTGAAATTAGGAAGACTATATTTGGATGGGTGGTTGGTGTAGAAGACATGCTAACAATAAGTGAGCATCTTCAACTTGGATTTCTTTGCACAAAAAGGTGAACTACATGAAAGAGGTAAATGTCATTCAATTCACATTCAAAATAGTATGGTTAGTTTCACCGAAATGGATTTGTGCATGGTTTTGGGGCTTAAATTTGGAGGTGTGAAACCACCTGTGGAGGAGAATTTAAGGGATTGTTGTGTAGAAATTATTTTGATATCACATCTAGGGTGAGAAGAAGTGGTTGTTAAAGTGCGTTAATGAACTATAATAGTGAAGACCCTAATATAGAACGAAACGATGGTGTTAAACTTGCTCTGCTCTATGTTCTTTCACACGGTCTGTTTGGAAACCAGGTGGCAAGGGAATTACCGGCTATATATATGAATTTGGTTGAAAATTTGAATGAATTCAATGAATATCCATGAGGGGTTGTGTTTGGGGTGAGTTAGTAGATAAAACGAGGAGCAATGCAAAGGGCAATGCGCCACACTGTCGTGATCACTAGCCCCATCACTACTGCCACCACCTCCCAATGTACTTGCATCGTCTTTCTCTTTAGCAATTCATATTCCTTCACCCTTTCTGTCACGCAGAGGTACCTATCCACCACATATATAGTCCTCTTCCCTTCCTTGCTCCCGCTCCTCTCGTTCTTCAACTTACCTCCCTTTAGAGCCACCTCATCCTAAACAATCCATCTTACACCCCCATAGTCATGCTCTTCCATTTTCTGCTCTCAGCCATGATTCGTAGACCTTCACTTCGATGTCTTCACCTCTTTCTAGTTTCTAAGAGCAGAATTCTATTGCATGTCCGACAACCTCACAAGAAAAATAGAAACTAAGTAATTTCTCATACTTGAAAACATCCCAAAGTCAATCTCTCCTTCCTTTCGAAGTTATGTTCAATTCTTTTCAAAGATTTCCCAACATTCAATCTAACCCTAATTCTAAGAAAATCCCTCCATGAATTCTTCCAAATTGATATTCATACTTACGGATAAGATTTCTTAAAAAATTCCCTATACTTTGCGCCACCCTAGCGGTCGTGAATCCTACAGGCAGATCATGAGCTTGCACATGAAATCTTCTTATGTAACAATAAAACTTTGAGCGGGGAATGATATGTTTGGAGTACACGCATGACCGTTGAATTTTGCTTAAATAAAACCATGATCCTTTCTCCAAAGCTTCATATCAATTTCATGATCAAAGGTAAAGAGATATCTCTTAACACCAGTGTCTCTGATAGAAGTTCCTTACACTGATCTCCATACACATGTCATGATATCCTTAAAAATCACGATCTATATCATTTTTCTCAGTGTAATTGTATCGGCCTTCAATAATCGAAAAGGTTACATGCCATTGCTCCCCCCCCCCCCCCCCACATTCTGTTGTGGAAACCAACCATGCTTCTCCTTCAGAAGCTCCTTTTAGCGATTTTCTACACAATCCATTGAGCGCTTCCTTGCCCAACACTATGCTACAAATAAGACGTACGATAGAAACCACACAACAAAGTTCTTTTATTGATTTAAATTGCCATGGAAATTAATGAGTTCAATTCATTTGGATTTTGAATATTAGTTTGAAAATTTAATTAGTTCGATTCATTAGAATTTCGAATATTAGTCTGAAAAATTAATTAGTTCAAATCATTGGACTTTTAAATATTGATTTGAAATATGAATAAGTTCAATTCATTCTGCTTGGTAGGTGGAATTTAATTAGTTTACTTTTTTACATAGAGCATAGACTATGGAGTCAAAAGAAAATTGATTTTCGAGAAATCAACTTGAAAATTGGTACTAAACATTTTAGTAACCGAGCAAATTCCGGTTCAGTATCTATGCCTCTTTTAAGATAATTAAATTTTCGGTTTTGTAATATTTATTTATTTTTCTTTGACATTTCTGTAAAATTATTTAGCTACATCTTGTCATTTTAACATTTTTTGACAAATAAGTTACGTAATTAAAATTTGGCCCCACCTCAATGCAATGCTAGATCGTCCCTGCACTCTCGCCCACTTATTACATTTACTTGGGTAGCATTAGTTATCCCCAAAAGTCAAAGGGTATGAAAGGTATTTGTTCTTTTATTGACTGATCTCCTAAAACATCATGCCAAAAGTAAACGTCAATATTTAACCGGGATGGAGGAAGTATAATATAGAGTCAACAAATTTGGTTTGGAATGACTAGTGTAGCAAAGAGACCACAAATTATACCGTAAGATCGGGTATACCATGTGCGCGGTATACCAATATCCAATAAGGTACCGTTTTTTCATAATAAATAAAACATACACTTTTACTTGCTCAATGGTCACGTGCTCTCTCCAGTTGCACACTTGCACATACTCCCCACCCACGTTTTTTTTTTGTTTTTTACTTTTAATGTTTCCAAATGTTTTTTTTTTTAATTTAAGAAAGTTGGGATGTATGAATACAACTTTTTGATCAAGTTTTCATCCTTTCGAAATAAAATAATTACTTTTTCTTTCTCTCTTAGTCCTTATTACGCTTTTTTTTCTTTTTCTAATATTCAACTAAAATTACAATAAAAAATTAATTATTTTTCTCTAGAATAAATATTTTTTTATATTTATATACTTTTTATAATATATTTTTTATATTCATACACTTTTTATAAAATATTTCTTATCTCTTTTTATATGTTTTTAGTGTTTTTAATACATTAAGTTTGTTTATTTCAATTTAAATTTGATGAAACATGAGATTACGTTTTTCATATGTCTGAGTTATGTTTATAAACAATTTCTGGAGTTACATTTGATAGTATATGGAGTTTCATCTTTTTTATAGGTGAATTACATCTTCTTGTGCATCAGTTACATCTTCTTATGCGCGAATTACATTTGGACTTGTCTTAACAAGTTACATTTTGCATACACCCAAGTTAGATTTTTCATCAACGCGAGTTACATTTTTCCATAACACAAATTACATCATAAAATAAACTTCAGCTATTGAAACAAAACAAAAAATCAATTTTTTGCAAACAAAAATGATTTTTTCTGTCAAAAAAAATGATTTTTGGCAAAAAATGGTTATTTTTGGCAAAAACAATTATTTTTCTCTTGAAACATTTTATGGCCTTGATACTAGAAAGTAGAAACAAAACATATTTCTTACGTAAATTAATCTGAGCAATTAGACTCTTTGTTTTCATCGTTTACATTTGATAGTATATGAAATTACATCTTCTTATGCGCGAGTTACATCTTCTTTATGCGTGAGTTACATCTTTCTATACGTGAGTTACATTTATACTTGCTTTAACAAGATATATTTTGCATACACCTAAGTTAGATTTTGCATTAACGCGAGTTACATTTTCTATAACACGAGTTACAACACGACATAAAGCTCTGATATTGAAATAAAAGAATCATTTTTTTTTTGCAAAAAACAAAACAAAACAAATGGCAAACAAAAAGTTTTAAGTGGAAAAACATTATTTATGGGCTTATATTAAAAACTAAACATATTCACTATTTGCGTAAAGTAAATGAGCACGTAATTAGACTCCTTGATTTCATTGAAATCAATCTTTTAAATTCTTATATTTGTATTAAACAAGTTACATTTCAACTTGCTTGCAGTTGCATTACTTATCCACGTGAGTTACATGTTTATACACGTAGAGGCCGTTTGGTAACACTGTTTTTTCGGCTTATCAGGTTTATCAGCCAACTTTTTCATCAAACATGTAACTTTTGTTTTCGCGCGCTGAATTGTGTAATAATAAGAAAAGGTAAGGTTGGAGTTACTTTTCTGGCTGTATTGTCTGAAGTTACTGTAGATGACCATTTTAGATATTTTTACATATAATTTTTTCTTTATTTTATCAATAAAATGTATTTTCAAAATAATTTTTTCTTAAATCAACATAATCAACCAATGTTGTCACTTCAACCAGAACTTCATAACTTTCAACAGAATCAGCCGAATTAGATGATTTTCGTGTTACCAAACGGGCTCGTAAGTTACATCACTCTGCTGGACAATGAAAAAAACAAAAGTTAATGTTGAGTGAAAAGTAACATACTCCCTCCGTCCCGTTGGGATGTTCCTGGTTTGACCTACATACATATTAAGGAAATAAACTTACCAGAGGATAAATTTTACTGTTTGGACACTGGTTTGCACTGTTTGACATTGTTTTGTACTGTTTGACACTGTGTTGATGTAGGATAACTTTTCATTTAGGAATATGTGAACTTCTTTTTGGGACATTTAAAAAGGAAAGTGAGAACATCCCAACGGAGTGGAAGTAGTACATTTTTGCCTGCTCCCATGGTATAGGACTCAGTAAAACTCATCTTTACTCAGCAAAGATGGTGTGTGAGAGCGGTAGGTAGGAAATTTATTGATTCACATATACAGTACTCTGTAAAACTCAACATGAAAAAACTCAGCAATTTTTTTTTGTAAAACTCAACATGAAAAACATGCCTCCCCCGTAGAAAAAGTTAAAACTGAAAAAGGGTATATCAGTAAAGGGAACCCATAGAACTGTACTGACCAAACCGAGACGGGCAGCTCTGTTGACGAGAGTCCACTCACTCGAATCAAATCTTCTCTGATGGTCGCCTTGTCTGGTGGAAATGGTAAAATACAATGAACTGTTTCTCTATCCGTCTTCGATTTTACGTACTGAGACGTACATGTATTGTCGTAGTTCCAGGACTCATCTTCTTCATAACATATCTCTAAAGCATTATTATGGATATGTATTCAAGTTTGTTATTTCCGGCATTTCTGGTTCGTTCTGTTCTTCTTTTTCCCGCCGCCTTATCTGTGTGGATTTTGGGCGTGCTGGAAATGGTTGTTGAGATGGGAGGTTTGGTCCTCCATTGTCGTATTGAAAACCCTCTATTAAGACACCCAACAACTATGGAAAGTTAGGAGTTGCGAATTAAAATCAATATAAAGTTGTTTATACTCGTAATTATTAATGGCAGTAGAGATCTACTTATTTTGACTGATGGCGTTTTGCGTAAGCAAGTACCCTGTAAATTTAGGAGGTCGAGCATTCATTAAAGGTAGACGATGTCACTTTTTTACATATGAGTTTTTGGAGGTAGACCATGTCACTTTTTCTGAGAATATTTCCTCATTCCTCTGTAATTTTTAGGTCGAAAGCAGGTTTTGTGTGGGTTTGATTAATGGAGTTCACTGTCTAAGGTTTTGAACAAGTATTTCTATGTCTCGGGGCAGATCTCCAGATTCACCTGATGATTGGAATATGGGTTCTCGTTTTAGGTCTGGTAAATCTAGTTGGCAGTTTCGAACGAAGTTCCAAAATGAAAAAGTTCTTTCTCAGAAAAGGCCAAATGAAAGTATTGCTGGAAAAAGTGAACCTCCAAAGAAAAGAAGTTCTGGTTCAGATGCCTGTATGAACTCTTCTTCCAGTAGGCATTCCTGGGATGCCATACTGCAAAAGAGAGGTAATAATATTCATGAAGGAAAACATAAGCCCAAGGAAAAAGAGAAAGGAGATAGTGATGAGTGCAAAGGTATGGCTATGAACAGAGATTCTGCTTCAGATGACGCTTGGAATTCATGTCTGCAAAAGGAAACAGATGCAGGCATGAAGAAAGGTTCTCATTCAAGCTGGCCTGCTTGGAACTCATGTCTGCAAAAGGAAACAGATGCAGGCATGAAGAAAGGTTCCCATTCAAGCTGGCCTGCTTGGAACTCATGTCTGCAAAAGGAAACAAATTTTGCTGATGAAGGAAACAACAACACTCATGAGAGAAAAAGTTCTGCTTCTGAGGACGGCTGGAATGCTTATTCCAGTTGGCCATCATGGAATTCCAGGTTGCAAAACGATACAATAGCTGATGAAGGAAAATATGTGCCTGACAAAACAGGTTCCCACCATTGGAACTCCTGGCTGCAAAAGAGAAGTGGTGCAGAACATTCTAAAGATGTGTTCCCAAAAAGGGATTCTAGATCTGGAGATAATGTTGGATCACATTATCATAAGCCTCCTTGGAAATCAAGATCGACAAAGCGAAGTAATTTTGAAGAGGATCAAACATCGGTTCATGGAGGTCGCAACTCTAGTAACCGGGATGCTAGATGGGTTTCTCCAGGATCCAGATCATGGGCAAATACTAATGCCAGAGAATCCCACGGTATTTCGTGGAAAAGTTCAAACTCTTCTGGTCATTTGCAAGCTTCTTCACGTAGGCATGTTTGGGGATCTGAGTTTCACATAAGAAATAATGCTGAGGGTTTAAAAAGCACTCTTGAAGAAAGCACGTCTAAAGTTATTAACAGCCTAAAAAAGAAGGGCTTTATGACGGAGGGTTGCTCGAAAAAAGATAGACCTCACAAGAGGTCACAAAACTCAGCAGATATTGCAGGACAGCTTTCTAAATGGCCTAAGTGGGAGGATACATCACACAAAGGATCATATAAGGGCTATTGCACAGATAGCCCTAACAAATCCAGCATATGGGATGGGAGCAATGAAGATGCAGCAGATATGAAGCCAGAAAAGTTGATGCCAAACACAACTCAACATTGTGGATCTCCTATCAGAGGTGCTTCTTGGAAAAAGAGAAGTGATGATGAGAATTCTATCTTCGAGTCTGCTGCAATAGTTGAAACCAAACCTTGTCATCTGGAATCCCTGCAAGAGAGAGGTAACAGTTATGACAAAGCTAAAGATGTACTATTGCAAGGAAACAATTCAATTGCCACAGATGAATCTTGCTCTGATTTGCCTTGTCAAAATTCTGATGTAGAAAATATAAACGATAGGCAGGAAGTCACAAATAGCTGTAGAAAAGAAGCAGACGATTCATTTGATCTGCCTTCTAGGAATTTGGAGGGGCAAGGATTAAAACTTGTGGAAGATTCTAGAGATGTGCATAACAAAGGGGTAAATGTGGGCTTAGATAGTTTCCCTTCATTGATCTCCTGCAGGGAAGAAACAAACAACCTGGAAAAAGGAAACAACAGACTCGAGGAAGTAGCCTTTGACAAAAATGATGGTGAGAGACTGTCTCTTGGTTCTTCGGAATCCAAAACCCGGATAGATAGCAATGAAGGATCAAAAGACGATCTTCTAAAAGTATCTACTTCTTGTTGGTCCTCATGGAAGCTCAATGAAATTGACACTTCTGCCGAGAGGGCCATCAACATAGTTGATGCTGCTGAGTTGCCTTCTAGTAGAACATCTGCTGAAGTGGAAATGGTGCACAGAGGGAAGGAACAAGTAAAGGATGAATTTGGCAAAAATCGTCTAGACAGAACTGAGAGTGCTGAATTAGATTCAACTAATCAAGTTCCAGATATTGATGTTCTTACTTGTACTAAAGATTTTAATGCTAGTAGGCTACAGAACCTGGTCGGTGATTCTGCTGATGGCACTAAATTACCTCATAATGAACCAGTTTTGGAGTTGGGGGTTGAAAGTACGTTGTTGCTTGGTGATACTGATAGCACTACACTTCCTCCTAATAAACCATATTTAGAATCGGAGGTTTATAAAAATAATAAGGAACACGCTGGAGATAATGTTGTTGGAAGGGCTGAAGTTCCCATGGATCAGTCATCTATAAAAGTTTCAGAAATGGAAGTTGCTTGTTGTTCTAAAGATTTTGGTGGTAATAGGCTACAAAACCCGGTAGGTGATTCTGCTTTCTCTCTTTCACCATGCACTAAATATCCAAACCCCCCTACTTCCAGTTATTCCACGTCTGTCTTGCCTAAACTTTCAGTGTGTGGTGAGACATATGACAATCATCTCAACGTGTTACATAGTATTTCTGCGTGCCATCAAAGTTGCCCTGCAAAAAAAAGCGTATGGAAGGGAAGCTTTGAGGTGATTGATATTGCTTCAGTTGTCAAAATCTTTGAAGGATTCACTGCTCATCCATCTTCTAAAGTTTGTCGTAAAGCTTACGAGTTCTCAAAAAAGATGACATCTACTTTGGAATTTCTAGTGCACCCTCGAAGTAAATACTGGCCAGTGATATTTGAGGATTGTCCTGATACAAATGATATTGCTTTGTACTTTTATCCAAAGAATGAACAGGCCTTGCGCGGTTACACTTCACTGCTAAAGTTCATTGACAGCAAGGATTTGATGCTCAGGAGTAAGATGGGTCATGTTGAGCTTCTGGTTTTTCCCTCGAGATGGTTAAATGTGAAATGTCAAACCATAAAGAACAGTTACTTTTTTTGGGGAGTTTTTCACATCAAAACAAGGAAGTAAATGATGAATGTTCGAGCCTGTTCTTCATCTGTAGTGAAAAGCATTTATGGGTCAAGTTATTCGATGTGATTAAACGCAATGCTTATTGCGACAAGATTTGTTGACATCCTAAGCAAATAGTGAGCTAGTCCATTTTTCTTTGTTTGCCAAATAAGCCTTGGATTTATGATTTGATTGTTTTGAAAGCCACTAAGAGCCGATTTGGTAACATTGAAATTAGTTGAATCGGTTGATTCGGCTGAAATTGATGAAGTTCTGGTGAAAGTGGTTGAAATGTCTGATTCTGCTAATTTATTAAAAAAATAAAAAATAAAATATATTTTATTATTAACATAATGCAAAATGTATACGAAAACATGGCTAATATAGTAACTCCAGCCAGTGTAGCCAGAAAAGTAACTTTAACCTTACTTATTTTGATTATTACACAATTTAGCAAGTCGAATCAAAAGTTATATGTTTGGTAAAAAGGTTGACTGATAAGGTTGATAAGTCGAAAAACAGGATCTCCAAATGAGCTTTTAATCTGTTAAAATTCTCAATATTAGGCATTAGCAGTTTGTCATATACATACTGCTGCAACAAGACAATTAATAGGCTTTCCTGCTTTTCCCTCTTCTAATATTATAGAAACCTTTTGAATTTGAACTTGTAGCTGATATAAATGAAGTGGTTTGTTAACTTAAGGTGCATTGTATTTACTTTATAAATTAAACTAAATAATAAAATCTGGTTAGAACTATTATTTTCTTCAAACAAATAATTTCTTCTCTGTTTTTTCATAATAAATTGTTTAGCTAGCAAAATCAAATCTAGAGTTGAACTTATTTTAGGAAATTGACTGATCCATGCCAAGAACCCTGTTCTTAGACCCATACTTTTAATGCACTTGCCTCAATACCGGCACCTCTGTGGGAAATGGTACGAAGAGTTTGTGTTTGGTTACCCTTAAGTTAGTTTTCCGCTTTGTGTGTTCCATTTAGGGGTTGTTTACTTTTTTTTCTATTAAATCTTCTCTAGATAAAGACGTTTGTGTGTATTAAGACGTATGTCTGGATTAAATGATGTTTGTATATGAAGCTGTTTATTTTGTGTGCTGAATAAACCATTTGAATAGAGTAAATTAATCAATTTAATACTATTATTATTAAGTTATATTGACAATGAATAATGTCATTTATTAACATATATCTATTTCATATTAGGTATTAAAAAACTGACTCAATAGATGTCATCATGAGCGTCTGAGAGTCTTAATAGGAAGGAATGCTTGTCCACAACTTAATGATTAAGTGAGTTTTTTTTATTGAATGAATAAGTCTTGTTTTCAATTAAGTCGTAAGTAAACATGACTTACGGATCGAAGGATTAAGCCGTCTTTTTCATTAAGTCCATTAAGTCATAAGTAAACGACCCTTAGCCGACTTGTGCGTTCACTTCATGAACAGCCATGTCATGTTCAAGAAGAAAAATTGATGATGCCATCATTTCAAAGTTGAATAACACAAAGCCACCCAAATATACATTAAGGAATGCTTACGGTGTCGGGAGCTACCATTCGGCGCAATGGATAGTTTCAAGCTTGTTGACACAACATTGACCTCACACTTTCCAGGTATTGCTCAAATAAACAACATTTCGTGCTTGGCAACCACCAAGGAGAGACAAGAGGAGACACTTTAAATCTCAGTGTCTCGTTTGGTAGTTTACACGTTAAATCTTTACACGTGAAGTGATTGCATACAAAGTATAGGGAAACAATTATTTTGCATGTAAAATACATTACATTGTTTGGTTAGATGTGTAATTTATTTTTAAATTGCACGCTAATAATGTTACTTAATTAATATTGTAATTCACTTAAGTGTCTCCTAGAATTCCCACATGTAAATACTCTTTGTATTTATCACACCTTGTAAACATTGAAATCCTCTCATTGGGTGGTTGCCATGCGACAAGAACTTGATGTCATTCATAAAAATCACACTTGGGATCTTGTTCCTTGTCCACCTAATGCAAATATCGTTGGCTCCAAATGGGTCTTTCGTACTAAGTATCATTCTGACGGGTCCATTGATTGCTATAAGGCACGCTTAGTTGCTCAAGGTTTTACACAGGTGACAGGTGCATGGCCTTGATTTATCTCACTTTCAGCCCAGTCGTCAAAGCAGCCACTGTCCGGGTTATTTTAGCTCTCTCGGTGCATTTCAAATGGGACCTTCATCAAGTGGATGTAAATAACGTTTTTTCTCAATGGAGTTCTTCATCAACCAGTTTATATGGCCCAACCCCCCGGATTTGTTAATCCTCAATTTCCCAACCATGTATGTCGCTTAAAAAGGCACTATACGGGCTCCGGCAAGCCCCATTGGCTTGGTTTCGCCGCTTTAGTGATTTTCTCTTCCGCCTTGGCTTCCAGCAAAGTCGTTCGGATTCTTCTCTATTTTTTCTACACAAGGCTTCATCGGTTATCTACCTATTACTCTATGTTGATGACATCATCGTCACGGGCAATAATCCTGAGCTACTTCAAAGGTTCATTTCTCACGCTCACAAGGAATTCTCCATTAAAGACCTTGGCAAACTCAATTATTTCTTGGGGCTGGAAGTTTCTCACACTCCCACAGGTTTATTTGTTGGTCAGTCCAAATATGCTCATGATATTCTGGAACATGTGGATTTGCTAGTTGCTAAACCTGTCTTCACTCCCTTAATACCGGGTATCTCCCTCATCAGTGCTGGCCAACCATTTTCTGATCCCACACTTTATCGATCTATTGTGGGCGAGCTTCAATATCTCACTATCACTCGCCCAGACTTATCTTTCGTTGTAAACTCTGTTAGTCAATTCTTACACTCACCTACGAAGGACCATTTTCTTGTCGTCAAGAGAATACTTCGGTATGTCAAAGGCATCATTCATCATGGGCTATCTTTTGATCGTCGTTCCTCTCAATCCATTACTGCATACTCCGATGCTGACAGGGCGCGATGTGTTGAGACACGACGTTCCACCTTTGGTTATTCATTCTTTCTTGGTGGGAATCTTGTCTCCTAGAGTGCTAAGAAACAACCAATTGTCTCTAGATCTAGTTGTGAATCTGAATATCGGGCTTTAGCAAATACTGCCTCCAAAGTCATGTGGTTGGTTCATTGACTCCGCGAACTTTGCGTTCCAAATCCCACCCCACCTGTCATTTTTTGTGATAACAAAAGTGCGATTTTTCTATCTCAAAATCCCATTGCACATAAGCGTGCCAAACACATTGATATTGACTTTCACTTTGTCCGCGAGTTGATTTCTGCAGGCCGTCTTTCTACACAGTTTGTTCCCTCTCATCTTCAACTAGCAGACATCTTTACCAAGTCTTCCTCGAACGGTATTTGAGTTTCTTCAATCCAGGCTCTGCGTTCGCTTCAACCCCACACATCGCTTGAAGGGGGTAATAATGTTACTTAATTAATATTGTAATTCACTCAAGTGTCTCCTAGAATTCCCACATGTAATTACTCTTTATATTTATCACACCTTGTAAACATGTAATCTATCTCTTTATATAATGGATTATTCTCTCCTCATTATCATTGAGGAGCACAAAATATTTCTCTATCACACGCAAAGTCATTGTAGTGCTTCATAAATGGCATGCAAAGTATTTTACCACCCTCCCCCCACGTAAAATATTTTACATGGTACAGTGAGAAATGTTTTAAAAAAGTGTTCTACAATTTATATTAAATAATCAAACCAAACAGTAAAAACATTTTACGTCCTTACATTTCGCATGCAAAGTAATTATTTGACATTCTACGGAACGCCCCTAAGATAGAAGCACTCATAGTGGAGAGAATGGATGTGATGTGTTCACCTATGTTTAACAAATCCCTTAAAACCCTCTGACCAATTATGGAGAACTATTGAGAAAGGCATGTCTAAAAAGTCAGTCCAACCATTTAAATTGGGGTGATAAATATACTTGCAACAAAGCAGATGCTATCACATCTAGCCTCACACCTTTACTCTTTATAATTATCGATCAAAATATATGTATAAACTGTGAATCTCAACATCTTGAGATGATCAAGGCCATTCAATAGACTGGTGTTTGGAATAACAAAAACCAATAGATCCTGATCAAGGCAAGACTGTATACATTTAGCATATCAAGAGGCCAGCACACCCATTCCGAAATTAGATGGAACTGTCCAAGAGTCGATCTATTATGTTAGTAAAGAAATGATTATTGACAAAAACAAACCGTCCAATCAGTCTCCACGATAATCAAGAGGCTAACTGCATACTTCTTCTAACTAGGCTCGGCCATTGATTGAAACAAAAATTCCTTTTGTACACGTTTTTGTACCCATCAGTACACCCATGTGTCTGTGAGAGTTTTTTTTTGTCTGTGAAGCGCGGTCCACAGACAAAAGCTGGTTTGTTTTGTCTGTGAAATTTTCCACAGACAAAGTAAGTCAACTTATGTCTGTGGACCGCGTTTCACAGACAAAAAAAAACTCTCACAGACACATGCGTGTACTGATGGGTATAAAAACGTGTACACCAAGAATGGTTGTTGATTGAAATATCAGTTTGGTCCTGACGTCGATTCTCAAATATCTAATTGCATTTGGAAGGGCCACAGTGGGCACTAACAAAACAATTGAAAATTTGGTGTTAATTGGTAACCCAAATGTTCAACTTACCAAATAACTTTTTAAACAACTAATTATTGAGTTTAGAATTGTCTAATAATCGAAGAGTAAAGATTAAAGTCATTTTTTGTTTGTTTTAACTGAAGTTACAGTAAAAGGTTCTTTTAGTTGTCTTCATATATGGAAGTAAAAGGTTCCTTTAATTTATTAATAGAACATATTTTAAATACTCCCTTCGTTCTATAATATTCGTCTTGTATTCTTTTTTGGGATGTTTATAAATATTTGTCCATCTTTCCTTTTTAGTAAGTTTTTTCAATCAAATACATTTATCAACCATTCTTGATACCTTTTTTGAACGAGTTGCTTGCCTATACAGGTAACTATGGGTGTATACATTTTGTGTATATTTTACAATCAACTGTGTACATAGGCAATTGTTGTTTTTTTATAAATGAAATGTTTATATACACAAGAAAGCATGTCAAATGTGTACAAATTGTGTATACAAATAGAATTTTTCTACCTTTATACCTTCACTTTTATTACTCTTATCCTCTTTTTACTTTTTACATACTACTTTTTATTTCCTACTTTATTAATGAAATCATTACTAGAGTAGTAAAGAAATCATAGTAATTCATGTTCAAATTTTGAATTTAAGTTACCATAACACTATGTTGTAGTAATGAATAATCATATTTATATAAATAAGTTTTATTTTGTAATATTCTTGTAAAACCTAAGAGGACTGTTAAAACCCCACGATTTTCTTCTTAAAACCCCACGA